CCGGGGAGCAGTCGGGGGTTCGGTGCCCTGCTCAAGGGCACCTCAGTCGTGGTATTGAAGGTGGACGAGAGCGCTGTACATTCACTCCCCCCACCTACAATCCCTGCCGGTACGAGACTCGAACCCACAACCCTTGGGTTACGAGTCCGACTCTCTAACCATTAGGCCATGACTTCTCCAGTAAGGAGACTGGATTTAAAGTCCACATTTCAGTTATTATACTGTAGACTTCAGATATGATCTACAGACCAGATTAGCCCATCATTTTGACTATTTATCAAAATCAGTTAAGTTTGTGTTGAAATATCTGAGCAAACATAATGGTGATCTGATGTTACTCATACCTTTACTTTACAAGGTCGTACAATTCAGGCATATATGAAATGAATTTTTATGAATGGTACCAAGGTGAAGGCTTAGCTCATGAATATTAGGTTACATGACTGAACAGTCTTGGAAAATTACCTTGCAATGTCAGCATGAGCTAATTAATATTCATAAGTTTGATGTCACAACACGCCCATCTTGCCTTCTTATCCCCCTTTAAATTTAAAACACTGTCCGGATATATACTTTGAACTTTATTGAATGGATTACATGTAAAAGTGTCCCTGCTCTAAATAAAAACTGTTGCGTGCTCTTGTCAAAGTTGTTGACTCGAATCTTGACTGAAGTCCAGGTTGACTTGTGACTTCATGCAGAAGCATCACTTCTGATTGACCTGACTGTTGAGTCAGTTCATCTGCTCTTAAAGCGACTCTGTCTAGTTAAGTTATTTATCACTCCTGTAGTTATTCTTTCTCAATACTGAAGTGCTTCCTCGGTTGCATAACAAATCTCTAAATTGTTAAGCATGTGGCTGCCTGTTTGTGTGTGTGTGTTGAATACCAGAGAGGAAAGGTTTAGTAAGGGTCATGCTTGTGCTCAACTTGCCTGCCCTTCATGGCTTGTTTCACAGAGTGCCAATGTTATTTACATCTCTATGACCGTTCCATTAGGCTGGCAGAGCCCTCTGGTGAAGCTCTGTGAAGGGGCTTTTGAACAGGGTGAAATTACCTCTACCCGGGAGCAAGAGCTACCTGAAAGAGCAGGGCCTTCTCCTATTTAAAAAGCTAATTATGACTAATATAGAATATTAGTGCTAGCTTGGAGGCCTATTAAGAATTACTGAATGGTGTGTAATTCTGTTTGGGAGAGATAGCCGACCCTCAGTCCAGATACTCAATTTAGTTAGAGACTAGCAGTCCACACCCGCACAGCTCTGTGAGAGGATGTGGTAAAATTATGGAAGATTACCACTAACACACTCTTGACCACATTTTGTTCTACAGTGAAAAGTCTGCATCCAATGCAGCAGTTTTGTCTGGATCTTATTATTCTACAGCAGAGGCGTGGGAAGAAGGGGTGAGATTTTGTTTGTCTGTGTTTGTACTTTCCAGATAGACTGTCAGTCTATGTGTTAGTGGTGGGGATTTTTCACAGTGTAACATCACTGAAACAATCATTCGGCTTATTTGTTAAACAAAACTGATTACTTCAGTTATGAAACATGTGACTCTTTATGAGTCAGTCATTGAATCAATCATTCAACTGATTAGTTCATCAATGCTGATTCATTCAGGAAAAAAACAAGTCATTTTATGAGTGAGTCATTGAATCATTCAATCAATTTGTTCAACAACACTGATTCATTCAGGATTGAAACAAATGACCCTCAATGAAAGAGTCATTGAAACAATCATTCAACCCATTAGTTCAACAACACTAACCCCTTGTCCAAATACCCACACTTGCGGTCTTGGCCACTTGAGAGCGCGTGCGTGCGACAGGAAGTAAGTGTGCAAGACTGTCCCAGGTCTTAAAAACGCCAGAGCGCAGTGCCCTTAAAGCACACTAAATCCACACTATCTCGAATACCACTCCGGAGCGCTATTCGAGGCTTAGTGTATCCCATCATGCATCATGTTCTGGAAATAAATCTTTTTAAAAATAAAAAGACTTTTTGCCGAGATCTCGCGAGAGGTCACGGAAACCTTTCCAGTGCAAGTTAAATATTAATATAATAATTAGATATTACATATAATTTGGTAGAAAAACGGTGTTTTTACATTTTATTGGTGCAAAGATGAGTAGTGGTGATATTTATTTTGTACAACATTTGCAACTGCTTTTTAATCACTTAATTAGAAGCACCACAAATTAAAATTGTCATGTTATAGGGACTACTGAACAGACATTTAGAAGTTGATTTTAAAATGCTAAGTATTTAAAATTAAAATTTAAATAAAGCTATGTAAACACTTGCATTTTTACAACACTACAAGTGTGTCCCATCAGGTAATGAAAAGTTTGACACACACTTGTGGTCAAGTGCAAAGACCGCAAGTGTGGGTATTTGGACAAGGTTTAATTAATTCAGGAATGAAACAATTGACTTTTTATGAGTGAGTCATTGAATCATTCGTTCAACCGATTCGTTCAACAACAATGATTTATTCAGGTACGCCACTACTGTGTGAGTCATGTAGCAGTTAAAGGGATACTCCACTGAAATTACTCACCCTCCTGCTGCCCCAGATGAATGTGACCACCTTTCTTCAGCTGAACACAAAGATTTTTAGAAACCATCATTTCCGGCTGATGGTTTATAGTTAAAAACGTTTAAAATATTAGTATTTTTACACCAACTGTTTCGCTTTAGAAGACAGTGATTCATCAGCTGGGGTCATATAGATTATTGTTATTGTTTATAAGAACTGGCATAGGACCATTATGCTGTGGAGGGACTGGGCTACCTAGGCATTTCCGCATGCCATGTTTGGGAACGTGCCAGTTTATTCTACATGCACATATGTGGACTCTAACATGGAGTCCACCGCTATGCTGTTCTTTGATGTCTTCAGGACTTTGGAATGAGGAGCTATTTGCGCAGTGGGTGTAAGTTCAAGCCCATTGGCAGTGTGTTTGTGTGGCTGTGCTTGTGTCTCTGTGGGACTGGCAGGGAGGGGCTGTGGCATGTGACTCATGCCAGGGCAGCTATGGCCA